ATTCCTTAGACAGGACAGTGTGGCGACCGCTACTACCCACCAAGTAAATGAAAGCCTTAGATCTGGCTGAATACATGTATTCTAGAGGAGGAAGATGTGGAGTCCCGAGACTTCCAACCGGGTGGAAGAAGGCAGCAAATGGAGCTGGATATTTGTTTTCCAAGGAGAACCAAGCGAATAGGCCTGAGAATAGCCCAAAGTCCGCCTACGGATACAAGGACCAAACAAGTCTTAAATTGAGCGCCAAATGTCAGGTGGTCATAGAAATGAGACATTACAGAAAGCAATAAGATTTTACTGGCTCGGCAGCCAGCTTACGCATACAAGGACCAGACGAAAACCAGGTTCGCCGTCAGATATCAGAGATCACATAAAGTGCTACACCGATCCTCTCTTCTTTTGAGCAAGCTCTTAGACGCTCTTTTTGATATACCTCCTGCGCTAGCCATTATAAGATACTCGGTACCATAGGAAAACACCCGCGAGCTTGTCTCGTCAATCACCATCTACCACGAAAATGAGATTGTACTCGACATTCTCAGCAGCTTCAATTATATCGGAAGTCACATTTTAGTCTAGCAGCAGGAATCAGGGTGGCATACGTATGTTGAACATCAATTACTTTTAGGACTGGACGTTGGTACACTGGTCTATAACGGATGCTTAGCATGGAAGGCTAGACCATACGCAGTCCTACATGCAAGAGGATCCGAATTTGTGCCATGTCCGTAACAAGGACGTAATAAGGAGATATGCAATAGGAAATCATTCCAGGTAATTCAAGGCGATGTCGGCTCATTTGTAATGACCTATTTGCGGAACACAGAGATAAGATGGAGCCAAACGAAGACAGTATTCTCAATCCTTCTTTTGTGGGTATTTCAGAGAATCTCCCACCTGAACCATATTTACCGCCCTAGCTCCGTAGACATATGTCACAGAAAGTGTTAATTGGAATGGAAGTCGTTAACAAAGCCGTCGTCGTCCCTAGCGCTGCCATCAGTGTAGTATCCCGAGACTTCTCGCTAAGGAGAAGACATTAGTCTGGCCTCCTGCTCGGCCGCACAAGAAAGAGGCAAGTATCGCGACAACCGCCAAGTGTTAAACGATCGCATAAACAAAGCACAACAATTATAGTACCGCAAGCAATTTCGACATTCAGTCTTATACCGCTTTTGAAAATAAATACACATTTGGTATGCATATATCTGAGTATGCTCGGTAGAAATACTTCATATCTATCTTCTATGTGGTTATTATTATAAGCGCAATTATTGCTTATGCATTTTGAGGCAGCTTTCGTTAACTTCTTAACTTTCCTATAAGTGAATGTCATCTCATTGCCTATTGGTTAGCATAGCTTCATTTCGGTCCTACTTTTGAACTCATCAGTTTGCGCGGTAAGTCCTCCGTGAATGACTTGAGCATTGCGGTCATACCCTTACTCCTGAACGGCCGCTTCTGATCACTTCTTAAAGATATAACTGTAAATTGAAGGAGGGTTAAGGTAATGTTAGGTCCTTTGGTGCTCCGTGGTATTGCATTTTATTGACAAAATAGTTGTAGTAAAGCTTCCATAGTGCAGTTCATTTATGCTCTGTTTTTTACTGCTCGAAACCTTCCTATTTGCCAATGCTTTAACTGCAGTGTGCAATGAACAACTGAACATAAATGATGTGTTTCAGTCTTACAGCCACATGTTGTTTAGTTAGAATAGTACTTTCTTTCGGCAAAAATTGTTGTGTTGTAGATTCTCAGCTTGTTAACTAATACTGTAATGGTCCTGATTGTGGTGAATCGTTTCATTTACTCCATAATCTAGTTTCATTAGAAATGTTTCCAGAGTCACAAAATAATCCACATCCATGACTTGAATCGCAAACATCTACCTTTGCATCTTTTGCATTTTTTTAACTTGGCATGCATGACATCACACGTGCCATTAACTTCTTCCTTTTGGTTAGTGATTTCACCATGAACAGTGCAAGGGATAAAATTAGTCGGAAGGTGCGAATAACTTTTGCCAGAACAGAACAGAAGGTAAGTTTAATTTGAGTGAATAAAAATTTGTTTCACCAGTTGAGGCCATCTCGTAATCCTAAAAATGAATCGGAAATTGATTCTCTTGACCAATTACATACTAGTGTCAAAACACAAAAGGTAACCAACTATTTGTGGCAAATCCACTTTCAGACACTTGTGCGGAAACTCATTGAACAGTGGAAGAAGTACCTAACTCGGACCCAGGGTTTGAGCCGAGTTAAACTTTTTATCTGTAGAAGCTGAAAAAACTGCTGTAGACTTTGAAAGTACTCTGCTCCGTTCTTTCAGTTCAAGGGAAGATGCTCGGAACAATGTCGAAGTACTATTGTCTAAGATATTATTGACCTATAGAGATCTTTGGTGTCTTTTCCAAGTTCTAGCGCTTGTGACATTGAAATTGAACTTGCAGATGCAAAGGAAAGATTAGAAGAGGCTTCTGTAAGCAATTCCATTTCTAAATAGCTTTCTCCATGTATTAGAAAACTATCAAAGATACCGAGGCGCTTAAAAGGAATTACTTCGCAAACCAGAATGTGTATGAGAAGGCGAGTGATCAAAAAAAGGAGCAAGTTAGTTCTATTTTTAAATTCAGTTTAAGTATTGAGTAAGACGATGTATTTAATAGGTATCACCCTTTGGATATGCTGTAAACGCAGATAATTATACTTGCATTCTTAATAATGTTAAATACCTGGTTTCTGAAGTGACACGAGTGCACTTTCTGTAAAGTTGAAGTCGTTCGTCATTTTGTGGTGTCCTTCAAGGGCAGCCAAAAGATCAGGGCCTCCACTGTCATTATTTTATTTACGCCTCAATTCTAGGGTATAGGTTTGGTCCATAGGCTGTTATTTATTGCACGTAGTTCGCGAACAATGCGATCGAAATAGCCCAAGTTCACTGCTTTGCCTTTATGATAATTTTAATATAATGGAAGAAATATTGTTTATCATATAACGTGAGGCCAACTCGTCATTCATTCGAAAGCCAAAATTCTTATGGAGCCTTATTGAACGAATGCACTTTATGGTTAGGAAAAACAGGCGATGGAAGAGTCACGTCAGAGACTTACCGACAGCATTAATGGCCTGAATCAATGTATTCCTCCGATTCTTGATAAGTAAGTTCATTGCTCAATAAATGTCATTTATGCCTTGTCTTCTTACCCTCTGTCTATAGGTCCAATTGGTGTTAAAACTGCGATATATATTGTCAGATTGATTGAAGTAAAACAGGTAAAGCTTTGAATTTCGATATCGCATGCAATACTTTAGTGGATGCCGTTACGGTACTTTGCTACTTCTGATATGCAATTCATGCAATTCATCAGTCTCTTGGATTACGGTATTATCATTGAATCGAACTCTGACGATTTTAACTTTTTATAAACCATAGCAAGTCACAATCATTTTCTTATTTTTTTGCGATGGATTTTAACAATGGTAAGAAATTGCATAATTAGGGAAGAAACGATTCCGTTGCGGAGGTATTCGCGAAGGCATTACTAAAGCGTATCTCCTTGTAGAAATGATGAAGAACTTTACCAGTGCATGTTGAAATACTTCACCAGCAAGTATGAATATCTCGATAATTTGCTCTCGGTGAGAATGGGCTTTTATTTTTTTTAATTCAGAAGACATCTGCTGCAAGCGCAGTCCTTGTAAATTTATTTGTTGCCCAGGAAAAACGTTGAGATCAACAAGCTAATCGCTCGTAACTAGTAAATGTACATATTGTCAAAACCAAGAAATAACGTTTGCTGCCTGTTTGATAAAGTAAGTTTAATAAGTACTAATCACCATAAGTTATAGCCTAAAATAGTCAAAAAGCTTTTCTGGAGGCGCGGTGTAGTACATGCTGACTTGTTCATTTTTCACGCCGTCTGTCTCGTTTTCCCACCTCTAACACTTGCGGAACGTAACCAGAAGCATTTACA